GGCGCTGACGAACCCAGATGGGGTCGAAAGTACAGTTCAGTCCAGCCTAAAAGAAATGCTAAACGAAATTCGACGGAAACATTATTATAGAAAAACCAATCTATGCGTCCCCCCTCACACTTCGATATAGGGTGACTGAAACTCTTTTTAAAGATGTATTGACAGTTGAGGAACCTACTTTATATGAATATGAGATTCGATCAAATACAACGACAAAGACAAACTGTGTAATTTCAGGATTTAGATCAGCAAACCTGTGATCTTTCCAGTAACCCAAGACTGCTGAGAAACCAATGCAGTTCTCAGGTTAGATGGCGATGAGTGGCCGATAGTTCGCTGGTTTGAGGCCGAAACTTAAGCATAGCTTTCACGCAGATCTCAGGAAACAAACCTGAACTGTCTGAAAAGCATGTGGGCAATGGATTTCTTTTGCTGAACGGAAATTCAAGAATACTAGTCATACATTCTTCCACACAATGCAAGTCTCTTAATTAGTGTGCTTTAAAACTAGCAATGCTTAGTGAACGATAACTTACTCACACTAGATCATTTAGGGGAGTTCGAGGCCTTTCGTATCATATTTTTTTATCGTATTGCCGGTGGTGGGGCGAACATGTAATTGCGATTTTTAATCGATGAACTTGTGAATGTTTCAGTTTCCTTAGTTATGCCTAATGGCCAGTCTGTCCTATCCAGCAATAGCCACAAGTCATGTGGGCACAAAGATTCAGCTACACTCAATCATACTTTTTGGTTGATTGGAAATTCGCTAATTAACAATTCCGGTCACATATTGTTACACCAGATTAAAAACTGTATTCATGCCATCCTTTCTGTTCCCTTCGTTTACCTTGGATCGATCGGAATTCACCTAGTTCCCGTTTCTAGCCTCGAATCATGGGCGCTGCTTCCACCCTGTATGGCCTATAGGAGAGGGTACAGGGAATGTGGGCTAGGGGCGTCAAGGTTGTGTAATTAAGCCCCGATGAGACCCTGTCGACGGGTGCAAGAAGAGACCCGCAGCACTTACTTCAGCGACTGGACTATGAGTGGCCGGGTTGGGCTAGGCTGGTCTTTCCCATCGAACCTCTGCCGCTTCGGCAGCCACTCCCACAATCACACCCCACCTCCCATCTACGTCTCTACTGGCCATGCTGCCTTGGGACGAAAAAGTCTAAGGGGCCCAGTGGGCCTTTATCCATTAGCCGGGCCAGGCCTGGTCGGGTCGGTAGTGAGGACGAAGGGAGGAGAAAAAATGGTGGGAGAAAAGCCGACGAGGTGATGACTCGTTGGGCGGAAAGGGCAGGTCAGAGGGGACAACAAACATAGGCCGAGTAAGGACATTGGTGGGACCAGCAGTGGAGGCGGTAATTGAGGTCGGAAAACTGATTAACTCTAAAAACGCCGCACGTCTGTACTATGCGTGTGTGTGAATGTGTGTGTGTCACAGTATGCAGCAGTTCGTATACGCAGGGTATCGGGGCTTGCTATTGTTCTTCTTGTTGTTGGATGTTGAAGGAGATGGCAGAAATGTCCAAGTTTTAGGGGAGACCAAATAATTCGACCCAGGGGGCATATTGTGTTGTAGGCTGGCTCGAAGTTGCACAAGGTCTAATATTTCTAGTTTATCAGCAGTTTTGCATAACTTAGGGCCCTGAGAAAGCAAGTCTGTGTCCACCAAGTTTTGTCTTAGACTTAAGGCAACAGATTTTAGGATAAAATGGTCGGGGAGCTTGGTTCGTGCCATAAGAGCTTGGGGCACGCTTGAATGATTCTCCTATTCAGACTTGTTCTGAACGCTTGTTATGTCATTAGCCACCCAGTTTGTAAGAAGTGATTGGATTTTTCCCAATTTAGGTGATTTATCGGAAAAAAGCCGGTGCAAAATTGAGTTTGGGGAGTGTTCAGGGGCTAACAAGTTGGCAGAAGTAATCAGTCATGGAGCTAGAAGTAAAATGTTTCTGCTCAAAATACACAGTTCATCATGGTTGATTTCGGATTAACAGAATTTGTTATTCAAGAATAGTGGAAAATTTTGAGGATTTCTCGTGCGAACTAAAAGTGATGCTGTCAAATGTAATGACAAATAAATTTTTATATTTCAATTGGATAGTTTTCGAAGCTACCACCAGATCTCGATCTCCACTCTGTGACATAAGACAATGGAGGACGAATAGATAACTTTCCTTCAAATTTAATGAATAGGTCCAACACTGCTAATGTAGTTGTCTTAGCCTTGTTTCCTACAAAGTATTCACACTCCCTTATGTGACTTAAATGAAACACAGTTCTTATTCAAGATCATATGATAGTTTAGAAACCTACTCAATTGGAATATAAGTATTATAGCCAATTGCAATATTAAATAAGAATTTGCTTCATCAACAATCCCACTACACAATTTGATATGGATGAGGACAACTGTGGAAGCGTGGCGTAGTGGTAAAATGTTGAAATTGTACGCTACATTAACTCGGTTCGATTCCCATTTGAAGTGAAAATGAGACAGAGAAGTGGGAACTGCAGCCTACCAAGGATCGGAATACCTTTCGTGAGATGCAATGGAGATCTGAGACTTACTCATATAATCGTGGAGAAATTAGACCATCAGTACTTCATCATCTGGGGCGAATAGGGTGAAGACAGCTCTTTTTACATGCATGCTTGCCCAGCCAAAAATCCCATTAAATACATGATTTATGAAAGGCTTGGCTTGCCCATAAAGTCACATTCGCCCTGTGATCCACAGGTACCAGTTGCTGTGTGGAGGACTGGTGATGTTGCTATGACGCTCATGACTTGGTTTACAATTCCGTTGGGGGTGGGGTCGAAATTGCAGTCCGGCCTGATCGAGAAGATATTGTTGAAGAAGTCTTGAGACCTACATATATCATTGTGGGAAAGCCAAACTATCACTCCTTAATTCATCTAGACTGATTAGTCTCTTAGTCAAGAAGTGATTTTTGATATAATTAGATTTCGAGTCTACCAATAATCGTTGAATAAGATCTTACTCATCCTAGGCCGCGTAGGGTGATTTACGGAATCATTCATAAAGTACTCATTGTTTCAAAATATATTCACAAGACTCATGAATTGCTTATTATCGGCAATCCCACCAAAGAAAATGATATGAAAAACGCCGGGCCTTCCTTGAAATTAACATCTGCCCTGTGACTTAAGGACACTCGTGGCAATGTGGCCGAGTGGTTAACGTATCGAGCTTACACGCTGCACTGTCATGGTTCGACTCCCACTGGGTGTTGGTAAGACCTAAGCAAGATCGAAACTGTAGTTCACCCTGGATGAGAACAACTTTTGGAAAAGCAAGGCTATGTGAAATTCAATGGAAACGTCAGCTCTACTCATTTCATTGTGGGCAACTTCAATTAAAGTTCCTTTATCACCTAAAACGGAATAGTGTGAATACATCTTATATGACTGATTTACTGGTAGTCTTAAAATCCTCCCTCTGAAATAAAAATAAAGTTCCTATTGTTTAACCACCAAGCGTTGCCTTCATGATCTATCGAATGGGATAAAATATGCATTTGCCCAATTCTATTAGCGCAAATTGCTACTGTTATTGTTGAGTCTCTACCTTAGAAGCAGAAGCAACGATTAAATGAATGATAAAATTTCTGCGGAATAATGGATTATTGCCATTTTCACACTGGCACGAAAAGTTGCGAAGGCCGACAAGTCAAAGTAACTTATAACATTAAGTATTGTTTGCATCTCAGATAACTTATAACTTACTTAATTTTGATTACTCGTGGGATGATTGCCGATTACAAGTGATCACTTATCAGGGATTTGCTTTGAATTCATGATGTAGTCGTGTTCCCAGGAAAACGTTGATGAATGTACTCCATACTCTGCTTCTATTGCCATGTTTTTTCCTAGCATTGGACCATTGGCTGAGTACCCTCCTATACGTTTCGCTCATATCTTAGTAGGCATCTTATGATAGTAGTATCATCTTTAGCATTGATCTCCAACTCATTAAAGTGACAAGAAAGGTTAAATTCAAGATAAATTTTCTGAAATTCAACTTCACCTCTTTTTTGGCTCTACATGTCTCCTATCTCCTAGTCTGGTACCATAATCTCTCACTTCCACTTCAGATGACTGAGCTTTATCTCTACCACAATTTGTCTCTTTGTCAGGATGGAAGTTTGTACCTTAGAATGGATTTATTGTGATTACCTTCTTCACAGATTTCTCTGCCTCTTTACCAGGCCTCTTGAACCCGACTGGTATCTCCATTCGAAGATCCGCATTCCTTCCAGTTCAGTCAGCTTCTCTCTTCATGGCCTTTACAAGTGTTTTCACTAATTAGCTAACTTCATCCACTCCGATACAGAAACCGGATTTAAATGTATGATAAATTTTCAAGGGGGACGGCTATAAAAAAGCGAGCCTTAAACTTAGTGCCCTAGTCAGTAACACAATTTCAAAGGCATCACCCCCTCTTATTCCACAACTGTATTGTCTCTTTTCTGGCTTGTATATCATACACAAGTTAATCTTTCCTTCAACACATCAAAGTGACAAGGGACAAGTGACAATTGATAGTGAAGTTCATTATGGACCTAAGGTTCACTCATATCATTGTGGATAAATTCAACGATCAGTCCTACATCACCTCCAACCAAATAGGGTGAATACATCTCACATAACTGATTTAATGGAGGCCTCAAAAACCTACAAATAAACTAAAAATAAGTAATTTGCTCGACGGCTATAGCAAGATACAACTTTGCATCATCGGCAATCACACCACATTCTGTGGTGTGGGAAAAGGCCTGGCCTTCCTTAAAATTCGCATCGGTCCTGTGGCCCAAGAGCATTCGTGGAAATATGGCGTAGTAATTAACGTGTTGAGATTATACACTGCACTATCAGTGCTCGAGTCCCGCTAGGAGTGTTGAAGATACCTAAGCGAGGTAGAAACGACGGTCCACCTTGGATGAGAATACCTTTTATGAAAAAAAGGATGTGAAATTAAATAGGAACTTAAGGCTTACTCATAGCATTACGAGTTAATTAAACTACCTTAAGCAAAATAGGGTGAATATATCTCATATAAATGACAAGGCTGTTGACATACCAATTAGCTTGAAGATGCGAGTGACAGGTACTCGGAAATTGCCTTGACCGCAAGCCGAAGTAAGAGTGCCTTGGAATTGACTTTAGATTTATGCAAATAACGCCTCTCTTCCACTAAATGAGGAATCTCATGATTTGGTTGTCTATTTTATGCCTTAATAAGAACTTAGCCATCATGGATCACTTAAGATGATTTAAGGACTGATAAAAGCAAAGAATTACCAATAGTCTCAAAACCTAATTATACAGAAAATTAAGGATTTATATTTCAGTTTTCCTACAATGAGATGAGTAGGCTTCATGATGTCATTGCGTCTTGAAAATTTTAATAACCGAGACCAGGAAATGAGAAGATCAAGTAAAAATTTAGTTGAGAACAATTATCCATCAAGATTAGTATTAATCTGGGAATATTATCAAATGGGATGGAGGGAAACATCTATTTGGTGCAAGTCAGATAGACAGAGTCTTAATTCTACCATCCTTTCAGCTTTTGAAATAGATAGATGAATTTCTGAGAGGGTGGGATAATATAAAAATTTGTAAGAAGATAGCAATACGTTTATTGGTAATACCATCTTTGCGTGAATTTGCCTACCCTCTATCCAAAGCAAGCTGTCAGAAGATTTTGTGCTTGTTTGATAGCGTCTATGTGAGGGAGACTTGATAACCCACTCGGAAGGGATTATCTAAACATAAAACAGTTTGCAAAGGTTTGTTGGTCCAAAAATCGGAACTGGCAAAACACATGGCTCACAAATGAGACCAGGTAGACTAGTCTAAATCCAAACTTTC